AAGAGTTGTTAAACTTCCTCGATTTATTTCAGAGTTCAGTGCTGCATCAGGTATAACCCCTTCCTCCTGAGGGCATGACTTACTACTCTCAACTAACACCTGGGCACTAAATGCTTATAACCATGACCATAATTTTTTAAGGGGTGGACCAGTAAGCCAGCGGAAGGCCTCGGTCAGATGACCAAAAGCTCCACTGGCAGGTCATCATCTGATTAAGAGCCACGTCAGGAAACACTTGTCCTATTTCCTGATGAGCGTTACCTAACACCCGGGTATCTGTTGCAAAGACTGGTTAGTTAACTGCGCTTATAACATGTCGACTACGCAGAGGGTCATCAATTCTGCATGTAACCTGTTCAACACCTGAAAAGGATACTTTAATTCCTAAAAAAAAAAGGGGGAATTTGAGTAAACTTAGTGAGTTTACACTAATAGACATACATTTCTCAGTATATATACACTCAAAGACATAAATTTTTCGATATATGTAACATTCGTCTTTTACAAAAATTTATACACAGCTAGAATATATTGACCCACCGTTTCGCTCACAGGTGAGCTTTTTCTCCTTGACTTGAAAAAGCTCACCTATACTTTCGCCTCTTGTCAGAGGTGCTTGGGAATCACTTCTCAGGAGAAAAAACCTCACCTGTGAGCGAAACATTGAGCAAAGAAAAATCCACAATCTAGTGTTTTTATTCCCACACCCGTCACCTTCTTTTACTTTGTCAGATCATCTAGGTACCTAATTAGTGTTAGGTAAACACTAATTAGGTGAAACGAGATTTGCCTACAATCTCAGCACTCCCGACAAGGTGGTACCAGTGAGCTACAAACCACCTTACGGTACTCAAGACCTCTCTTAGTAGTGTAGAGAGAAAGGGGCACAAAATTCACTCACTAAGACATAATTATTGGAAACGTTTCTCTCCTGGGACCATCACTACATTTTGTGTATCTTCGCTACTGACGGTGTCGCCTACCTTTGTACCCATGACCTCTTTTGCTTACAAACAAAATACGGAGCGTGGACGCCCATTATTCCAGCATGATAAACACAGTGAGGAGTACCTGCTCCCCATCCTGCTAGGATAGCGGTGTGGGTGGTGTAGTTGGTGAGGGGGTGAGGCAGACACACCGGCAACACCCCATTACTACTGAAGGTGAGAGCCTCCTTCAGGTGAACAGTGCCACGTTGTTCTCAGTCACATCTAAAACACAAGAAAACAAAGAGACGACGTATGTTTTTTTTATTTCGTTTATCATATACATAATCCTCGCTTTTATATGCCTTTACCTACAAGATCATTCCCGCTATTAAATGAGAACTTACACGATACTAAACAACTGTAAAACAAGACTCAAGACTTAAATCATCGTTCACTGTAATTTAATTTAATTGATGTGACACCAGGTCTTGGTCTTCGTTAAACGTGGTCTTCGTTAAACCTGGTCTTCTATTATGTAGTCTCCTTGTGAGACCATGAACACTAAACTATATTTTTTTGTAAATGACAAATGTTAATTTTTAAACCAGGAAAGACGTGGCTCAACATTAGGGAATAAATACAGTGTCTTCAGAAAGTTTCTTTCTTCCACCCTCTCCCCCTCCTCAGCGCTGTATAGCCCTTGTGGCTTAGCGCTTCTTTTTGATTATAATAATAATAATAATCTCCCCCTCCTATTCAATCCTCGCCTTTCACCCCCTCCCCATATCCTCTTCCCCTTCCTTCCTTCCCCCTTCTCTCTCCCATGTAGGAAAAAGTATGTTACGTACAAGGACACGAGTATAACTAATGCGACATTTTATTGTGGCAAAGTTTCGCTCTCCAGGAACTGTATGAAGCCGTTACAAACAATACATGGATACGGGGAGGGCTTGATAAAGCTTCTGGAGAGCGAAACGTTCCCATAATAAAATGTCGCATTAGTTTGCACTTGTGTCCTCTTAACATACCAATCCATATTTTTCTAGTAATTCTACCAATATTATAACTATTTTGCTTGGCATGAGCGAGCTTATAAACATACATGGCAATACGTTTTTCTATAAATAGAACCAGTATTATACTGAACTTGGCAGGTAGCCAGGATATATTATAACTAGTAACTGGCAGGTAGCCAGGATATATTATAACTAGTAACTGGCAGGTAGCCAGGATATATTATAACTAGTAACTGGCAGGTAGCCAGGATATATTATAACTAGTAACTGGCAGATAGCCAGGTTATATTATAACTAGTAACTGGCAGATAGCCAGGTTATATTATAACTAGTAACTGGCAGGTAGCCAGGTTATATTATAACTAGTAACTGGCAGGTAGCCAGGTTATATTATAACTAGTAACTGGCAGGTAGCCAGGTTATATTATAACTAGTAACTGGCAGATAGCCAGGTATATTATAACTAGTAACTGGCAGATAGCCAGGTTATATTATAATTAGTAACTGGCAGTAGCCAGGTTATATTATAACTAGTAACTGGCAGGTAGCCAGGTTATATTAATAACTAGTAACTGGCAGGTAGCCAGGTTATATTATAACTAGTAACTGGCAGATAGCCAGGATATATTATAACTAGTAACTGACAGGTAGCCAGGATATATTATAACTAGTAACTGGCAGGTAGCCAGGATATATTATAACTAGTAACTGGCAGATAGCCAGGTTATATTATAACTAGTAACTGGCAGATAGCCAGGTTATATTATAATTAGTAACTGGCAGGTAGCCAGGTTATATTATAACTAGTAACTGGCAGGTAGCCAGGTTATATTATAACTAGTAACTGGCAGATAGCCAGGTTATATTATAACTAGTAACTGGCAGATAGCCAGGTTATATTATAACTAGTAACTGGCAGATAGCCAGGTTATATTATAACTAGTAACTGGCAGATAGCCAGGTTATATTATAATTAGTAACTGGCAGTAGCCAGGTTATATTATAACTAGTAACTGGCAGGTAGCCAGGTTATATTATAACTAGTAACTGGCAGATAGCCAGGATATATTATAACTAGTAACTGACAGGTAGCCAGGATATATTATAACTACTAACTGGCAGGCAGCCAGGATATATTATATCTACTAACTGGTAGATAGCCAGGATATATTATAACTAGTAACTGGCAGATAGCCAGGATATATTATAACTAGTAACTGGCAGATAGCCAGGTTATATTATAACTAGTAACTGGCAGGTAGCCAGGTTATATTATAACTACTAACTGGCAGGTAGCCAGGATATATTATAATTAGTAACTGGCAGATAGCCAGGTTATATTATAACTACTAACTGGCAGGTAGCCAGGTTATATTATAACTACTAACTGGCAGGTAGCCAGGATATATTATAACTACTAACTGACAGGTAGCCAGGATATATTATAACTACTAACTGGCAGGCAGCCAGGATATATTATAACTACTAACTGGCAGGTAGCCAGGATATATTATAACTACTAACTGGCAGGTAGTAGGATGTATTATAACTATAACTGGCAGTAGCCAGGATATATTATAACTACTAACTGGCAGGAAGCCAGGATATATTACAAATACTAACTGGCAGGTAGCCGGGATATATTATAACTACTAACTGGCAGGTAGCCAGGATATATTATAACTACTAACTGGGAGGTAGTGAGGATGTATTATAACTACTAATCGGCAGGTAGCCAGGATATATTATAACTACTAACTGGCAGGTAGCCAGGATATATTATAACTATTAACTGACAGGTAGCTAGGATATATTATAACTACCAACTAGCAAGTAGCCAGGATATATTATAACTACTAACTGGCAGGTAGCAGGATATAACTACTAACTGGCAGGTAGCCAGGATATATTATAACTACTAACTGACAGGTAGCCAGGATATATTATAACTACCAACTGGCAGGCAGCCAGGATATATTATAACTACTAACTGGCAGGTAGCCAGGATATATTATAACTACTAACTGGCAGGTAGTGAGGATGTATTATAACTACTAACTGGCAGGTAGCCAGGATATATTATAACTACTAACTGGCAGGAAGCCAGGATATATTACAAATACTAACTGGCAGGTAGCCGGGATATATTATAACTACTAACTGGCAGGTAGCCAGGATATATTATAACTACTAACTGGGAGGTAGTGAGGATGTATTATAACTACTAATCGGCAGGTAGCCAGGATATATTATAACTACTAACTGGCAGGTAGCCAGGATATATTATAACTATTAACTGACAGGTAGCTAGGATATATTATAACTACCAACTAGCAAGTAGCCAGGATATATTATAACTACTAACTGGCAGGTAGCAGGATATAACTACTAACTGGCAGGTAGCAGGATATAACTACTAACTGGCAGGTAGCCAGGATATATTATAGCTACTAACTGGTAGATAGCCAGGATATATTATAACTACTACCTGGGTGGTAGCGAGGATGGATCATTTACTACCTGGGTGGTAGCGAGGATGGATCATTTACTATCTGGGATGGTATACTACGAGATGGATCATTTACTACCTGGGTGGTAGCGAGGATGGATCATTTACTACCTGGGTGGTAGCGAGGATGGATCATTTACTACCTGGGTGTTAGCGAGGATGGATCAGTTACTACCTGGGTGATAGCAAGAATGGATCAGTTACTACCTGGGTGTTAGCGAGGATGGATCAGTTACTACGTGGGTGTTAACGAGGATGGATCAGTTACTACCTGGGTGTTAACGAGGATGGATCAGTTACTACCTGGGTGGTAGCGAGGATGGATCAGTTACTACCTGGGTGGTAGCGAGGATGGACCAGTTACTACCTGGGTGGTAGCGAGGATGGATCAGTTACTACCTGGGTGGTAGCGAGGATGGATCAGTTACTACCTGGGTGGTAGCGAGGATGGATCAGTTACTACCTGGGTGGTAGCGAGGATGGATCAGTTACTACCTGGGTGGTAGCGAGGATGGATCAGTTACTACCTGGGTGATAGCAAGAATGGATCAGTTACTACCTGGGTGGTAGCGAGGATGGATCAGGATCCTCCTGACGGGGGCGTGGACCAGCCGTGTCGCTGCTGCGTCAATGATGTGCCCTCCGACCACGACCTCGTAATTGTACTTGTTGTACTTCATCCTGTACACCAGAGTGAGCGAGTCATCTAGCAGCAAAATATCTTAAAACACTCTTAGCTAGACTGAATATCTCTGACAATATCCTGCTCGTCAACCTTGCTAACTTGCATAGAGTATATTTACAACACAGCAAGATGGCGTCTGGGAGTGGACGCCGTTCACTATTATAACAAATACACACATTACTGCTACAACTATGTTCATTTTGAAAGAAAATAAAGAAAAGGAAACTGTAAACAATTTCAAACTACCGAGGGAGACTTTTGACGGAGAAAATAGCTATTGTTTTCAGTTGTGTAGAAAATAAGATAAAATTAAAACAACAAGAATCAAAGAACGTTACAAAAATGAGGTGACAAAATACTTATTGACTATTAGCATTGAAGAATATGTAGCAACATACAGTGGTAGATGGATAATGAAATTTAATGTAGATAGATACTATATAATGGAAATAGGTGAAAGTGAAATTAGGCCACATGAAGAGTATAGACTGTGTAGTAAAATACTGAAAGGTTTATAGGGCTCTGTCATTATTAACTAAAAAATTGTCACCGGAATATCGTGAAAAATAAAATTTGAGAAACTCACGATACACAGGCAAGCTATTAAATAGCTTTCAAATGTATGGAAGGATAAATGGTAAAGAAAAGATATTCAAATTATTTGTTAGGTCAAAATTCGAACACCGAAATCTATATGGTGTCCATAACTAAAAAAAAAAAAAGTGGATAAGTTAGTTTGGTCCAGAGAAGTGCGACAAAATGGTTACCAAGAGCAGAAAAGCTGAGTTATAATGGCAGACTGTTAAAGGTAAAAATGTCTTCCCTGGCTGAGAGAAAGAAAAAAGGAGACACGATAACATGAAAGGACATAAAATGAATAGACAAAACAAAAGATTATTTTCAAAATAGGTAATTAAAACACAAATATAATCAGGGACAGGAGCTGTAGCTCATCATCAGAAACAGGCACACGCAAGGATCTTCATGAAAATCCCGAGTACATTGTAATTATGAGTTGTCAACCACATGAACGGAATTCTTGTGTGTCTGCCTCACCTGTGGGCGCAGGTAGCAGAGGTGAGGACCCAGCTCTCGTGGATGACAGAGGCGCCGCAGAAGGGAGTAGCAGGCTCCTTTACTGCCACCAGCGCAGCCTGCCACGGAAACTCTCCTGGCTCCACCTTCTCTGACACAGAGGTCGTCTTGCCGCTTATACCGCACGCTGAGGACAGTGTTAGACACATTATTTAGTACGCTATATTTGTACTTAATCAAAATTTAGTGGTTGTAATTACTGGCAATAATCCGCTATGGATAAAATACTCTTGGTATTTCTTAAACATTTGTTAAAGTCATCTTTCAATTCGTGTTTGACTTATAAATCAAATGATAAAATTACTTAGTTATGAAGGAGTTCAGAAGACAAACGACTAAATTTATGATTGGAATGGGTGTCAAAAGTCAAGACTTAAAAGTGGAGTCATGAATGTTAGATTCCAGTTGCTACGACAGTATTTTGAAGTTTAATGGATGTGTGGTTGAAAACGTTTCCAAGCTACCCTAAATTAATTACACACGTGTGTTAGAAGTCCAATGCTAGTATTAAGAATGTCCAAGTCAAAAATTATAGGGGGGAAGGACAAAACCCATAAATTAAGATAAAGAATTTAATAATTGTCAAAATATATTAGGAGACTTTATAAATAACTCACACTTAGCAGAAGAAAGTTTGAAATTTCGGTACAGATGTGACTAGTCCAGTGGACCGAAACGTCGTGATGCTTCCTCTCCTGAGTGTGAAGTATTTGTTCCAACCATGAAAGTGTGACATTTTTATTCTTTTTATATTAGAAGATTGTCAGATTTCTTAAAAAACAAACAAGAGCGATTTAAACTATTATTTCTTGGTAGACTACTTACAACAATGGTCAGTGTTGGGGTTAGTGGCCTTCACCGTACACTGAAATCCCTTATAATTTCCCCTTTGGTTGGTTTTGAAAATGACTTTGAACCTGGTGATGTTGGTGGCAATGATGCTCTGGGGTATACCACTGCCGCAATATCTATGAGACAAAAAGGCACAAATTATTATTACGGTGTTTGGTTGGTCTAGGTCTATCAGGTATATTGACTGCCTAGGGTCAATAAGTGCATACACTAACTAGAATATACACAAACTATTGTGCATTATTATCGCTTCATGTTCGTAGATACTTTTTTTTTTCCTGTTAACTTACTTCATACGTTGGATTTTGAGAAAATCAGAACATTCTCCAGCATTATTTACTCCCTCCAGGTCGAAGACTTGACATGACATCGTCACCACCACCTTCCTGCTCGTAGGCTTGCGAAGAAAAATATATTTACAACACATTTATAAGTACTCTCAAGCACAAAATTATTTTATTACCAGCTAATAAACAATGTAAGCGCTATTAATTGGTGAATTGCTACTAATTTCTGCCCGAAATGCCCAGGTATGATAGTGGCTTTCTTTGTACTTAGCAAACCAAAATTGTAATTACACATTGTAACTTTTACAAAGAAATAAGCCTTTATCTTTATCTTATCTAAATACTTAATTTCTCTAAGCAATATTTGTTTATATTCTTATCATTCTCATCATGAGGCTGGTAACTAAATTAAACTGCGTATGTCACACGGAACATATTTTCTAATATTCCCTATTATATACTGACCAGAACTTACAGTAATGAATGTCACCACTGAGACTGGGAACTTACTATATTAACTAGTCACCATGTTGTGCCTATAATAAAACTACAACCAACAACCACAAAAACAACAACCTCAAGACACAACACAACCACAGGAACACACCAAAATCACAAGAACACACCAAAATCACAAGAACACAAACACAAACCACAGGAACACAATACAACCACAGGAACACAACACAACACACAGAAACACAACCACAACCACAAGAACACAACACAACCACAGGAACACAACACAACCACAAGAACACAACACAACCACAGGAACACAACACAACCACAAGAACACAACACAACCACAGGAACACAATACAACCACAGGAACACAACACAACCACAGAAACACACACCACAACCACAGAACACAACACAACCACAGGAACACAACACAAACCACAAGAACACAACACAACCACAGAAACAACACAACCCACGAGAACACAACACAACCACAAGGAACACAACACAACCACAAGAACACAACACAACCACAGAAACAACACAACCACAGAACACAACACAACCACAGGAACACAACAACCACAGAACACACCACAACCACAAGAAAACACACCACAACAAACTACAGGAACACAACACAACCACAAGAACACAACAGAACCACAGGAACACAAACAACACAGGAACACACCAAAACCACAAGGAAACAACACAACCACAGGAAACAACACAACCACAGGAACACACCACAACCACAAGAACACACACCACAGGAACACAACAATCACAGGAACACCACCACAGCCACAAGAACACAACACAACCACAGGAACACAACCAGAGGAACACAACACAACCACACGAAACACAACACACCCACAGGAACACAACACAATCACAAGAACACAACCACAACCACAAGAACACAACGCAACCACAGGAACACAACACAACACAGAACACAACACAGCCACAAGAACACAACACAACCACAGGAACACAACCAAGGAACACAACCAACCAACCACACGAACACAACACAACCACAGGAAACACAACACAATCACAGAACACAACCACAACCACAAGAACACAACGCAACCACAGGAATACAACACAACCACAGGAAAACAACACAACCACAGGAAACACCACAACCACAAGAAACACAACCACAGGAACACAAACCACAACCACAAGAGACACAACACAACCACAGGAACACAACACAACCACAAGAACACAACACGACCACAGGAACACAACCAAGGACAACACAACCACAAGAACACAACACAACCACAGGAACACAACACAACCACAGGAACAAACAACCACAAAACACAACACAACCACAGAAACACAATAACAAACAACAACACAACATAACCACAGGAACACAACACAACCACAAGAACCAACCACAACCACAGGAACAAAACACAACCACAGGAACACAACACAGCCACAAGAACACAACACAACCACAGAAACAACACAACAGCAGGAACACAACACGACCACAATACAACCACAGAAACACAACACAACCACAAGAAAAACCACAATAATCAAAACAACAACAAATAAACAATAACAAGAACTGACCTTCAAGAGCCAACCACATTTAGTGTGATAGAAATCGTAAGCACATGGTAGTAAGGGAGTGATCACATTGTGTACCCCCACCCACCACCACCTCCGCCAGGGGCTGCCCACACTCAGGGCCCACTAGCACCCCTAAGGGGAAGAATGGGTGATTAGTAACAAACTGATGGAGGATTATTATTATTATAATCAAGGGGGAAGCGCTAAACCCGGAGGATTATACAGCGCCTGGGGGGGGGGATGTGGAAGGCATTCAGGCTTAATTCGGGGAACTGGAGCACAGATCCAATTCCCTAAATCAAGAGCCCCTCACCAACATCAAGGAACCTTCCTTGAGGGGAACTGATGGAGGAGTGTTAAATAAAAAGTGACAGATGAATAAAAATCGGTGAGAAATCCCACACACACACAAAAAAAAAAAAAACTCGTTAAATTACTGGATTTTTAAATTAACATTGACGTGAGTTACTGATGAGAAAAGAACCACGTCACCGTGAACCTCAGTAACCTGGTATATACCCGCTCATAATCAAAGTAACCTTGTATATACTTAGTCAAAGTCAAAGTAACCTGCTATATAATAAGTCAAAATCAAAGCAACATGGTATATACTTAGTCAAAATCAAAGTAAACTGACATTTACTAAAAATTAACCCTTAACTAAATCATCTCAAAATGCTAGGATAATCATGGGTGAGCTCTACTAGGATAGTCTTGAGTGAGCTCTGCTAGGACACTCTTGAGGGTGAGTTTGCCAGGACAGTCTTGAGAGTGAGCTCTGCTAGGACAGTCTTGAGGGTGAGCTCTGCTAGGGCAGTCTTGAGGGTGAGCTCTGCTAGGACATTCTTGAGGGTGAGCTCTGCTAGGACAGTCTTGAGGGTGAGCTCTGCCAAGATAGCCTTGAGAGTGAGCTCTGCTAGGACAGTCTTGAGGGTGAGCTCTGCTAGGACAGTCTTGAGGGTGAGCTCTGCTAGGACATTGAGGGTGAGCTCTGCCAAGATAGCCTTGAGAGTGAGCTCTGCTAGGACAGTCTTGAGAGTGAGCTCTGCTAGGACAGTCTTGAGGCTGAGTTCTGCTTGAAGTCTTGAGGGTGAGCTCTGCCAGGACAGTCTTGAGGATGAGCTCTGCTTGGAGTCTTGAGGGATGAGCCCTGCAAGGACAGTCTTAAGGGTGAGCTCTGCCAGGATAGTCTTGAACTCAGCAAGATTAAGCTCACACAAGCATTTAATCATTATTAAAATCATGTGTAAGCACTAAACACGTAAGGGCCAAACAGCGCCTATGGAATGGGAGGCAATCATCTTTGATCCAGAGAGAGAGATGCCTTCAGTTTCTTATAATAATAACCCTTCACTGGCATCAGGTACCCCTTCCCACCTCCTTCACTGGCATCAGGTACCCCTTCCCACCTCCTTCACTGACATCAGGTACCCCTTCCCACCTCCTTCACTGGCATCAGGTACCCCTTCCCACCTCCTTCACTGGCATCAGGTACCCCTTCCCACCTCCTTCACTGGCATCAGGTACCCCTTCCCACCTCCTTCACTGGCATCAGGTACCCCTTCCCACCTCCTTCACTGGCATCAGGTACCCCTTCCCACCTCCTTCACTGGCATCAGGTACCCCTTCCCACCTCCTTCACTGGCATCAGGTACCCCTTCCGGTGGCCTGGTGGCTAAAGCTCCCGCTTCACGCACGGAGGGCCCGGGTTCGATTCCCGGCGGGTGGAAACATTCGACACGTTTCCTTACACCTGTTGTCCTGTTCACCTAGCAGCAAATAGGTACCTGGGTGTTAGTCGACTGGTGTGGGTCGCATCCTGGGGGACAAGATTAAGGGCCCCAATGGAAATAAGTTAGACAGTCCTCGATGACGCACTGACTTTCTTGGGTTATCCTGGGTGGCTAACCCTCCGGGGTTAAAAATCCGAACGAAATCTTATCTTATCCTTCACCCTTAAAGAAACAAGTTTAAGGAAACTTTAAATCCTAGGATGGTTAATGGGGTTTAAAGCCTATCGACTACACTGAGTCTAATATTAAGGCTGCACGTAACTTATTCACCACCAGACAAGAATTATCAAGTAAATTCTTAGCATACATAAGTTATGTACGTCTCACGGTGTGCATAGTCTGTGTGTGAAATGTCCTTTGAGATTTTGTAATAAACTCAAATACTCTCATTTCTAATTTCTGTTTTGAACATTAAAATGGTATAAAATACCGACAGGTTGTTAGGTAAGACACATATGCAACAGTTAGGTATCTTTATTTCGAAACGTTTCGCCTACACAGTAGGCTTCTTCAGTCGAGTACAGAAAAGTTGACAATAGCAGAAGAGACTTGAAGACGATGTAATCAGTCCATCACCCTTAAAGTTTTGAGGTGGTCAGTCCCTCAGTCTGGAGAAGAGCATTGTTCCAAGAAGATGGCAAGGGTTACACCAATACATAAAGGTGGTGACCCTACAGACTTAAACAACTATAGGCCAATATCTAACTTACCATTGCTATCCAAAATCTTTGAGAAACTCGTGCACAGGAGACTGTATTCATTTATAACGGTTCAAAACATACTCAACCCCTGCCAGTTTGGATTCAGGAAAAATAAAAGCACTAATGATGCAATCATAAAAATGCTAGATCTGCTTTACACATCATTGGAAAATAAGGAATATCCACTAGGAATTTTTATTGACCTAAGAAAAGCTTTTGACACAGTAGACCACGACATCCTACTCCACAAACTTGATCACTACGGTATAAGAGGCCATGCGCTTGCTTATTTCAAATCTTACATTACTAATAGGTATCAGTACGTCACCATTAAAGACACAGCATCAGCAACACGGCCACTTGATACTGGAGTTCCGCAGGGAAGTGTCCTTGGCCCCCTGCTCTTCCTCATATACATCAATGACCTTCCAAATGTATCCCAACACCTGAAACCCATTCTCTTTGCTGATGACACGACTTATGTCATCTCTCACCCTAATCTTGCCACCCTCAATACCATTGTGAATGAGGAGCTGATTAAAATATCGACTTGG